TTAATCTGATGCTCACTATCAATTGGCTTCATACAGGAAATTGCCTGGGTTTCTAGTGAGAAGTCATAACCAATTGGGTCCACCTATTTAAGTAAAAAGGTCAGCTGCTTGTCTGTGACACTGGCTGACAGTTGTGCTTTATGTGCCGTGGATTGGCAGAAGTTGGAATTCAAGGGCTCTTTCTGTATCACAGTGGCTTACGAGCTTACCCAAAGGTCTTGGGTTCAAATCTCAGTGGTTTCACATCGGTGAAGAGTCCCAAACTAGGATGAAACAGCTGAATAGTTATCCCTGGTTTTTCAATCGCTGTCTAGGTGATATCACCTCATGATCAAACCTGCTAAAAATAAGTGGAAATGTGGCGAAAATGTGATACTCCGGCTCATCAGTTGTGAACAACTGGTTTTGCTGTTGACATGTTACACTGTAGTCATTTTGTAACAACAGAAGACAAGGGCCAGGCAACAGAACGTTTATTACGGAAAATCAACACATATTTATAGATTTTGATGTACATTATTGTAGGTTAATGTTAGTAGAAAATACAGTCTGTTGATTGGTTGTTTCTCACACAAAGTTAACCTTGCATCTCTTGTGGCTGTGTCAGTTCATCTATATGTTAACTGTATCCGTCTGTCTATCTTGACCTTTGACCTCAATAACTGTCAACCAATTTGGTTAGCAACCATCTCTCACCACAATTTGACCGGTATATTACTTTAATAGCAAGCACTGGTAAGAAAACGCCAACAAAAATCTCAGTTACTTAGACCTACGTCCTTGTGAGCAAAATATTTCAATAAAATAGACTGTTGAAATCATTTGATGCAAAGATTTTATGTCTTATCTGGCTAGTATGACCGAACTACAGATTTTGAGGATGTGGTTCTAGCCTAGTCAGATATCTACACTTTGAAACGATACTTAAAATACCTAAAGAATCCGCAGTCAGGTTAGACCTTCATTTCGTTAATATGAACTCAGTTCAGTTTGATTTATTTCTCTTAGCCTTAGGTTTATATAGATGTCCCAGGTGTAGGAGCTACGTCATCAATAAACTTGATAAAGACTATATGCTACCGGATGTTCGAAGCTTTGAGAAGTGAATTCGTTTTGAGAGTCTGTCTCAGAATATTCATCAAACTAAGATAGGCAGTCGTCACAAATTCAGGCAAACTTGAAGGATTTAGGAAAAAACAGGATTTCCTCTATGCATATGTTGTCTAAAAGGAGAATGAAAGCCTCACAATTAAGTCATTTCGCTGAGAGAACACAACTCCACTAATATAAGCTATCTTTCTCATCATTTATAAAGGTGGAAACTGTTATTATTCCTTTGGGTTTCGAGTGGGACACAGGGATTCAACAACACACCTCCGCTTCGTTCCATTTTCTAACGTCCTCTTCATCTGGCCAGGTCCGTGATTGACCATAATCTCTCATCTCCTCTTACCCACACAATCTATTCCATGTCACCCTCGCACCAACGACCCACTCGTCGCTTCTCATTCGGATTTCACTCAACTGATGGCCTGCATAGAGCGCGATGTCATTCGATGGTCTCCTCAGTGTATGCCTGACCTATCTTCATTTTCTCCTACATATTTGTTGAGCAGTCGGCTCCTGGTTTGTTTGTTCCACTAGAGAGTTCCTTGTTGCTAATTCTTTCTTTCTGGCAAGCCGACTGGCCATTTGATCATCAGTATGCAGCTAGCCATCGAAGTGGGCAGCTGTTGATTAAAGTCTGCAGTTGGCTGTTGGAAATCCTTTTCGTGACTTATGGACAGTGCAAGTTTCTGACCCTTATAGAGGCAGTGATTGACTGACTTCACATTAGTGTTGAACAGAATCCGAATTTTGTTGCTTATTCTGGCTGAGTGAGGCTAAAGATTTCTAAACTGGTTTCAGGTTGATGAAGGCGCATCTTGCCTTTCCGATTCTGGTCTGCTTTGACATCTTTATCTATGCTGTCCGACTGCCTGTAGTCGAAACTATGCTTCCTAGATAAGTGAGGAAGGTAACTTCTGTTAAATCTATCGCATTGATGGTGATTGATGCTGGTTCCTATTGTTGTTCGTTGGTTATCTTCATCACCCCCGTCTTCTCTATATTCACCTGCAGTCTTGTCTTCTTCAGACAGTTTGTTGGTTTTCGTCTGCAATTCTTCTAGTTTGTGTGACATTAGACATAAATCACCTTCAAAATCCAAATATTCTTGAGTCTTCTCATCAGTAGTCCAGTGTACTCCTGTCTCCTCACCCCGATGCACAGTCTGGCGCATAATCCAGTCCATCACAATTAAGAATATCATCGGTGAGAATAGGCAACCAGCTTGTCTCACTCCTGTATTCCCTTCGAACGCTTCCCTGAATTTTCCATTTTGGATCACCTGACACGTAGTATTATCATATAACCAGCTGTTGAATGAGTCTGATAGAGATTTGGGGCATTACACGCCGTAGTGTTGAAGTAGTTTCAAATTTACTTCTAGGTCAACGCTGTCTGATGAAGGCCTTTTCGAAGTCGATGAAGGTGAGGTTGGGAGAAGTTTGACTGGTATTCTATGCTTTGCTCGATGACGATGCGTAAAGATACAATTTGATCAGAACACGATTTGCCTTTCCTGAATCCATCTTGTTCGGGTGCGGTGAAGTTCTGTATCCAGTGGATCCTTTGTTCTCTCGAGGATGATGCGACTTAGTATTTTACTTGGTGTGGACAAAGTGGAAACTATTGGTCATCTATTTTACTATAGCTAAAAGATTGCATTATGGCTAAAACTATGCTTCAAGAGAGAAAGGGGCAAAGTTGAAGAATAGAGATCCAAGAGGACAAACTCACCAATGAACTTCAAACAGCCTATCGATTCAAAACGTAAATTCGGTTTCCTTACTCAACTTTAACTTTATCCTTTCCCTGACTAACTGTAATCTAATCTTCTTGCAAATTAACTCAAATCTACTCCTAACCTATTATCACCTTAACACTAATCCTAATCTCTGCCTAAACTAATCAGACATCCCGTTTGATATTCTCACATTTTCATTATTTTTCCACAAATACAGTGTCTTTCACTTGGTGTCATTAACTTGCTCTTCATGTGCGTTGGTTCCTCTGAATGGGTATCCCTTAACTTGGCCCGGAGAGAACGGAAAACCCTCAGATTTTGAAGTGTATGAGCTATTATGTGGTAGTTATATCATAATTTTAAAGCTTGTCATTTTCACTTGTCAACATCTATGGATAAAGTGTAACAGTCTATCAGTTGGGTAGTGAAAATTATCCCATTCGACCAGTTAGACACTAGCGATAATAAATTCTTCTTAGGTTATTTTCCAGAAAACTTCGAAAGTGATCAATTTTACCTTCGAGTTTTGTTTAATATGACTGGCTTCACAGTGAACCCTGTAAACAGTTCGCTTAGTAACCTTAGCATTTCTAGATTTGATATCTTATGCAGTCGTTACAATACCAAAAAGAACTACCGCGAAACCACTCTTCAGTTTCATTGATATAAGAATAAAACATGTGCACTTTGGTGGTAGAGTATAATTCCATTATGGGTAAAGTTTATCTTGATATACTCTCACAGTGTTATGGAGTTATATTTACTAATGACCACGTTTCGAGCACAATTTATTATCGCTCACAATCACATCAAGGCATTAATCACTCACACAACTTTCTAACTTCGTTTATATAATTCCATTATTCTCGATCACTTGACTTGATTGGTAGTAGTATTTTACATATTTCCGGTATGAGTGATGAGTCATTCCCATTGCACGTGTTGTGTTGTGTGTAGACTCGATGAACAAGGATTCAGTAATCAATCTCTCTCCCTGTCCACCTACCTATATTACTTTTTAGAATTTTAACCCTCTCCCACCCTACTGTTAGATTGTAAAATAAAACGAATAAAAGAAAGGAGACTGGACACTAGCGTTTATAAAAAGCCAAGGCACTCTGTTAATAGATCTTTAGACTTTCATTCATCTCATCCATTGCTATCTGTAAAGTCTAGCTTAGTTAAGTGTCTAACAAACCAAGCAGTCGCACTAAGTAGTACAAAAATGACCAAAATGATGGTGTTACATAACTATCCTATAAAATTCATTAGGAAGATCGAAAAAGGTCAAAAGCAAAATAAAAATAATGGAGAAACTAATAATGATAACATGAATAAGAAAGAACATAAGGCATCTACAGTAGTTTTACCATATAAGGAGGGCACATCTGAGACCCTACGTAGGATTCTCAATAAATAGGAATTAAGGTAGCATTCAAACCTAAAAACTCACTCAGGTAGGACAAGCTCTGTAGGTTAAAGGACCCTGTAGGTTGACCCAATTAAACAAAGTAATATAATTTACAAAATACCTTGCAATGACTGTGAGTCACCTCAACTACATAGGTCAGTCAAACTCGTAGATCAGGAGTAGTCAGATTATCAGAACATAAGAATCTAGCTAAGGTTTGAATGATGGACCCCCAGAAGATAGCACTGCATGCATTAACACACAACCACACAGTAGGTTTGGAGAGGGTTAAAATTCTAAAAAGTAATATAGGTAGGTGGAGAGAGAGAAATTGTTTACTGAATCCTCGTTCATCGAGTCTACACACAACACAACACGTGCAATGGGAATGACTCATCACTCATACCGGAAATATGTAAAATACTACTACCAATCAAGTCAAGTGATGGAGAATAATGGAATTATATAAACGAAGTTAGAAAGTTGAATGAGTGAGTAATGCCTTGATATAATTATGAGCGGTAATAAATTGTGCTCGAAACGTGGTCATCAGTGAATATTACTGCGTGACACTGTGAGAGTATATCAAGATAAACTTTACCCATAATGGAATTACACTCTTCAGTTCCATCGACTCTTCAGTACTTTTCTAGTTGATGTTAAGTAAGCTGGATGGACTTCCCAATAACTTAACATTCTTCACAAAGCATACTATTCTCAACAAAGTAAACATGACAGGTATTCAATGTTCAAGATTATATTATTTGACTAGTATTTTAAAAGAAACAAATGGGTACAAATTTGAAAAGTCTGCATCACAATCTTCAAGGTTCAATGGAGAAGGAAAATACAAAAACAAATACTCCACTTTATAATACAGTTCACCGGAGGAGAGATTAACTTCCGTTCAGTGTAACATTTTACGAAAGTGGTTAAACTTTTCAGGAGAAATCATATTCAAAGTCACACATTACATGGCTAGTGTGAAAAAAGTTCATTTAAAACTAAGGAAACAGCTAGAATAAAGTGAAATATGATGGCGATTGCTCAAATAATCTTAGAATGTTTCAAATGACAGTCCAACCAAAACGGAATGTCGATGACCTTGAGAGTTTTGTCTTCAAGAATAATAAGAAATAAACCAGAATCGAAAATAACAAGTGTACGAATTGAGAAGTACATAAATATATAAACAGAAGTATAATAGACAAATAATAATAACAAAAATAGAGGTAGAAATAATCGGGGTACAGGAATCTAGAGATCAAGTATGGGAATTTACAACAGAAAGAAGCATTTCGTGGGGAATTTACCTCATTTTGTCTTCACTGATTCTACCAATTAAGTAGCTGACAGTCGTATGCATGTTCATCTATCCATAAAAAATAATTAATGTCAAAAAGCGGGAAAATTTCATCTAAAAGTAAAATAAATACGTAAAATTAGCTTGTTAACTTCTAAGTCAGCATTCAGAGTTTCAACGAACTATTTTAATAAATTCAAAATGTTTAGGTTACATTTAATCTGCCCGCCTCATCTAGCTATCTGATTCGTGGAACAGTTGAACTATAGCAGCAACCACCAATGAAAATCTTCCTAAACGACCTTGAAGTAACCAATCATATTATCACTCGCCAGTGCATCTCGTTTATCGTTTGATTCTGACCTGTTTTATACTTTTATGTAGATATTAGGCTGTCTTCTTTTGCTTGACTAGGAAATTTATTTATAGCATTATGAAAGAGGATTATCTAGCATTAAACAGAGCTGTCTATAGCTATGGAAAATGCAATTTATCGACAAATTTATCAGTCTTAACGTCCATTTAATATGGTTAGTAGTTGTTCCAGATCATCTAAAGGGTTCTCGCTGTTAACTGCTAAGATTTAACTTTGTGTAAAATATACACTCACTTGATGTTAGATAGTTGGAAGCAATCGACTGCCAGCCGTGAACCTAAGTTTAGTGCTTGTTGGTGCTTGTCAGCAAGGCGTATCTGGAATTTTTAGTGAGGTGATAACCCCTTAAAGATTTCAACCCACATTAAACCCCTGTTACAATAAAAAATGTTACCCTTGATCTATCTGAGTGCACAGTTTACCTCCTCCTGGTCTGTAATATATACACTGACTGTTAACTACGGTTTAAACAATATTATTTATTTATTCCTTAGTGTTTTTGGCAGACTGAGTTCTGTCAGTTAGGTTTCAAGGTCATCTTTTAAGTAGTTCTTGTGGGTGGCTATTCTTTCCAGGTTGTAAATGCCCTTACATACCCTTGACTTTTGACTGATATTTGCCTAAAATGTGTTTTCGCGCACTCTTGGTGCTTTTGTCATTTTTCAGTCTCCCTAAAGGCTGGCGTTAGATAGACTTTTGAACTCTGTGAGTTTATCACTCAATTTGATATTTTTCAAGGTGATTTAAAGCATATGTATTCAACTACAAGCGGGAGGGATAAAGATGTCAAAACAGGCCCGAATCGGAAAGTCAAGATACGCCTTCACCAACCTGAAACCAGTTTGGAAATCTTCTGCTTCACTCAACCGGCATACAGAACAAGATTCGGGTTTTCAACACCAGTGGGAAGTCAGTTAGTCAGTTCTTCTATACGTCTCAGAAACTTGCACTGTCCATGAGTCACAAAAAAGATTTCCAACAGCCAGCTGCAGAGTGTTAACAACAACTTCCTTCTCTGGCTGGCTGCATACTGAAGGTCAAATGGCCAGACGGCTGGCTGCAAAGAATTAGCAACAAGAAACTCTGTCTGGGAAAAAATCAACCAGGAGCCGATTGCTCAACAAATATGTAGGAGAAATTAAAGATGTATTGAGTATACATTGCGGAAACCGTCGAATGACGTGGTGCGCAATGCAGGCCGTTCCTCGAGTGGAATCCGAATGAGAAGCGACGAGTTGGTCGTCAATGCGAGAGAGACATGGAGGAGATTGTGTGGGGAGGAGGAGATGGGTGATTATGGTCAGTCGTGGAGCTGGCCAGCTGAATAGGACGTCAGAAAATGGAACAAAGTAGACGTGTGTCATTGTAGTCTTATGTTCCACTCGAAACCCAAGGGAATAATTATAATACTGCGAATCCCACCCTGAACACCTGGGCTGTTGTTTGGGACATTAAAAACTGTATCTGTTAACAGTCCGTCACCTCTTATTTTTTATGCAGTCGTGTAATCTTATTGTTGCAGTTGTGTTGATAATTGTGATTAACAAATAGATTAGGTTCCACTAGCACGTGAAGTTCATGTTGATCACATCCTGCTAGGTCACATTATCAGTTGAGTCACATTTCTACACTTTTTATTTTCACCAAACTATAAGTGACAATTTAATTCAGTTTAAGATTTTCCCGTCAATTAATAGGACCAAAGTGCTAGGTCTCAGGTTGACATGTCGGTTTCTTGTACTTGTGCAGATACTTCGACGATGTCTGAGCATGTAAATAGCAGTTAATTGGTGGATGGTGACTAGCAGTGGAATCCAGCCAGAATGAGCATTTCGTCCTATTTTCGACTCGTCATCTGGATCTACCTGCATTCCGCAGTGATTGGGAATATCATCACTCACTGCGGAATGCAGGTACATCCAGATGAAGAGTCGAAAATAGGACGAAATGCGCATTCTGGCTGGATTCCACTGCTAGTTACCATCCACCAATGAACTTATAAGTGACAATTGTTCACTAGCTTGATGACACTGAGAACCAGTATTAGTTACAAAATTTCATGCTTTCATTTAATGAATCTAAACGTTTGACTCACATTAAAATTCTTAATTGAATCATACTACACAATCAATATTGCTCAATGTCTCAATTAACTTAATTAGGCGTTTATTTGCTGTCTTCACATAAACTAGCATTATTTCAGTTAATTTTTGAAGTAGTAACTTCAAAGTGCTGATTTAGACACCGCTTCATTACGTCACAATTGATATATATATATATATACATTCTATTTCCACACACCACGTTCCTTTGATCATGTTCGTAAGTGCAAGAGAAATAGCATTTACAGCAATTATAATTGTGAACGTTTTATTTCAAGGCTTTTCTTCAACTTCAGACAGATTAAAGTATTACATATCATTGATGAAATAATGAACCCACATTCCTTTTATTCTAATAAGCAGAAATAAGCTTGGAGATTACATTGTTACGAAAGAAGAAGGAGTGAGATGATGACACAGACATAAAGTGTTCTTCAGTCGTTCACCGGTCTTCAGAAGCCTGAAAGACTCATATCTCGCATCTGATCACTTTTATATGCTTATACTGTGGAGTGATGCAGGCTGATAGGAAGTGGTGAAGACTACAATCGACATTTCAAGTCAATAGCTAGCTGCAGAGGTAAAAGTGTTAATTCCTCAAATCTGGATTTAGTTTACGTTGTGGTCATGAAATAATCTCACTGGACAGGTTGTTCAACTTTGGACCAATCGCCAACTAATCGGAACGGTGTATTCCCCTCTCACAGGACCAAAGTTTAATGTGTCTAAAAATGTATAAATATGATAAGTTTTGCCTCAATAAAGGTCTGTTACCAGGTCTCTTATCTTCTCAAGTTACAGTATTAGTTCTCCTATTCCTGTGGAGGCAAGTATGTCAGTCATTCGACGCTTTTCCTATCCAAAAAGATTCAAGAATACTATCCCACAACCTGCCAATGATAATACGCCTTTGCATTCTTTGGATTACTTAAGCTCTTGTTATTAAGGTGGAGAAACAGGGACTCCTCATACAAGAAACATTCTTGAACTACTTCTGTAACGACAGAAGACAAGGGCATAAAGAGGCATTTAGAGATTTTTATGTACATTACTGTTAGCGAAGAAGTAACCTCTTCTGATTGGTTGTTTTCTTGCTGAAGGTTGTTCTATGCTACTTGTGACCGTTTCTTAGAAAGTCAAGCCATATATCTGCGAATCATATTTCCACACGTTAACTCTACTGTGATTGGTTGATGATTTTCTCTAGGTTAAGCTTTGTTATTGTTTCTCTCATGACCCTGACTCGGGATGTGAACACTGATGTAAATTGTTGTCTACAATTTTGGCTTGTTCTTAGCCAGCTTTCACCACACTCGTTCCCAAGTCAAAGACTTTCGTCCGGAGTTGGTTTGGTCTTCTTGGTGCTATCTCACAGTCTGCCAAAGACAATGTGCTTTCGCATCCTTTGGATTACTTAAGCTCTAGCCATTCAGGTGGAGAAACAGGGACTCCTCACATGAGAAAAATTCTTCAACTACTTCTTATATTTTGGTAATAACATTAAATGCTTCCTACCAACTTAACTATCTTTGCTTCGTTCTATAACTCTTTCTTACTTTCTCGTTCCTTCGAAATCTAATATAAAATCACATTTTCCCTCGCTATTATGTGTATACTAATTACAGCTCATTCATTAAATTATTCAACTAGTGACGTAACTGTGTAATCCTCATTTAGTTTCTTTCATGTATTTATTATTTATTATTGTTTCCTTTAATTCCTGGAGGAACATAGGGCTTCAGCCGAACGTCTCCAAGGCGTTTGGTTCTCTGCCAACGCTTTCAACTGGTTCCACATCTGCCCACATGCTTATATCTCTTCTTTACATGATTTCTTCCATATCACCCTCGGACGACTAACTGACCACTTCCCTTTCGGATTCCACTTGAGCGATGACCTCCACTTCTTCCTGCTTATTCGTTACAAAATCGGTTCTTGGTTGACTCGCTCCAAGAGATCCCTGTTGCGTGTTTTTCATGTATTGACTAATACTTTCTTTGATTATGACAACTAATCACTTCTATTAATATCCTATTTTGAAAAAATTGCATATAAATGCAATTGTACAGGTATGGAAGATGAATTCACTGAAAAGATCCTCTTCTGCTGAACTACTAGTTGTGTTTTTCCCCATAAATATAGAGGACTACTTGCGTTCTTTATGTATTGAAAGAGAACAGTCACTCATCAGAATTCAACTCCAAACGCTTCCAGATGTACGTGTCATAGCAAGTATACTGGAATGGATGTGCACTTGATTCGTTGAACATATTCACAAAAGCCTATATTAAACAAAGGTTTATAGCCCTAGGTTAGTTTAAAGTCGCTCAACTTACGACCGATTGACAACATAAAATGGATATATCGACTTCATTTAAGAAAGGCGAAGAAATCGCATTTTACTTTTGTTGTTCTGAGTCGATTTGCTATTAAGTGACTTCAACATAAACTATGTATACAAAAAGATAAGGTAATTCGTACAAGTTTTATTCTGGCGAAAATTATTGAACATGATCTCAAAACATATGAGAAAATTTCATGGATAAATACTGTTGAGCACAATAATGGATTGTGCATTAGCTATCCAAGGCTAGAATGCCTGCCAGTCATGCTAGTAGTCCGGGCTCGACTCTCATTCGATGCACTGCTAAGCCTCGCCTAGCTGGCAGTGGGCCTAGAAAAGATGGTGAAGGCTAGACGTGAGACTAGGAACTCCACCCAGTAAAAACAAGACAAGTGCTACTGAAACCGCTTGAAAACTGGTTCAATTTTTTGTTTTTACGAATTGATCACGGATTGATATCAGTTAGAGAACCATTGAAAACCAGGAAGTACTGGACAGCTGTTTCATCAGCTTAGTTTGGGAATCATCGGCAGTACGCACCCACTGGGATTCGAACCCTGTACCTTCTGGATACAAGGCAAGCTCGTATACCATTCAGCCACTGGGAACCGATTTAATGACCAGTCCATGGATTCCCAACCAGTGTCATCGGTGGGACATCCATCCTCACACGTGACATCTGGATGGACTTCACTGGTCACGAATTTTCACTAGAACTCCAGGAAACTCCATTCTGTAACAAGTCGCTAGCTACTGCCAATGATTTCTAAACTAGGCTGATGAAACAGTAGATGTCCTGTACTCCTGTCTGGTTTTCAATGGTTCTCTAACTGTGATATCAACCCGTGATCAACTCGTAAAAATATAACTAACCCTTACAAATCAAACCATAGAAAATCAATATTTTGTGCTACTGATATTTGGATGATGTCTGGTTAAATTTTTTAGCGTTACAATAAGTTCAACCTCTTGAGGTGATATTTTTATTGAATTGAATTAAAACGCCAAATTTCAAAAAACAAAACAGGACATGACTTAACACATGTTCTGGATACCTAAAGAGGTATATAACATCAAAATCCTCTGCGTTTCGGCTTACCTTCTTTATGAATCTGGTTATTTGTTGACATGCAGTGACATAATGGACAGCTATGCTAATAATGCAGCACAACATACGATTAAAAAGATCTGTAAAATGAAAATAAAAATACACTAAATTACTATTTTTTTGCAAATGATTTCACTAAACAACTTGTGATGATGCGTTACAGACAATGTCTGCCAACGGAATATTATTCTCACAAATACTATTCCCACAGTTCAATACTGCATTAGCAACAGAATACTATGTATGTATTGGAACATTCTATTTCATAATGTTTGATGTAGACCAAAATTCCACGCTCAGTGATTTGTTAAAGAATATTAACTGTGTGTATATATAAATAGCGGTTTGATCATTTGAAAATATACCTTGGCTTTCGTGTCTTGACTTCTGCTGTTACATTTGGTGTCGCTGCATTTCAACAAATGGAAAACCTATGTCCTGTAGTTTTTGAGGAAGGATACACATTGATCTTTTTACAGGACTTCCAGACTGTTGCGGAGTTGAATGGCGTTCAAGATCCGTCAGCGAAGATGCTTTTAATTGCAACGTTGCTGAAAAGTTTGGGCAAAGGCAGCATATGATAGTGTGAGGCGAAAAACCGGCGAGTACGCGCCAGGGTCATGCAGACTGCTTTCAGAGTGAGAAGCACCCTACACGGTCACTGAGAGATGGGGTCACGTATATAGAATCAGAAATGCAAACTAAGAGAAGCGGCTGAACGTTAGCGAGCTCTGGAACTGAATTCAACAAGAGAAGCGAACAAAGCCGCCAGCACCAAGAAGATCGGACCACCTTCAGTCGAAAGTATTTGATGGGGGACGAATGTGGTGGTGTGATACATGCAATGGGTTCCAACAGAATGTGTCTTCTGATTTTGCTTTTAATAATACACGCTGATGAACTGATCACCATCTTTCGTTGCTACACTAGTCACCTTTACTGTCGGGGTTGGGAGGGAAGGGAACCAACACTTACTGAAATGTAGGTACATTCAAGCTGACACAGTTCTAGAGTTTTTTTGCTATTCACTACAATTTATATGTGTCGATGGCACAGTGGTTATGACGCTCACCGACCATGCATATCGTCCGGGGTTCGATACCCAGCCGATGCACACCTGATATCAGTGGTTGGTCCCATAGTTATACCAAAATACTTCGTGGAATCAAGCTATAGTAAGAAAATATACGTATCCTAAAAGACTCATTTTTGAAGCTTTCTGGGGAACTGATAGACAGAGAGGTACACTTTTCTGGAAGCACAGATTTCAGAATTACTTCTTGATTATTGATTTTTTAGAAATTTGAGCATTTTAGAGAATTTATCACACAGGTGGTTCAGCGGTAGAATGCCCGCCGACCACGTGCATGTCAAGTGCGTGTTCTGACGTTCAATCCCTGGCTGAAGCACTTCTAAATCTCGCCTTGCCAGGAGTAAGATCTGTGAGAAGGAAAGATAAGGCGTGAGGCTAGGAGATCCATTCTATAATATAAACGGAATAACACCGTTACTGATGAAATTTCACGACTTAAAGGCCTTTGTTCGACTGGGAATGGTAAGGAATAAAATAACTATATATGTGTATCAAACAGGCAATATACATCACCTGCTTTTATGGTAATTTTAATATCTGTTCTAGGAACCTTTGTTTTCATTCAGAGATGGTTTATTTCCAGTAGAGATTGAACTTCCGATGATTCTACTGATCGCATAAGCATTTGAAGTCAGAATTGCTTTGAAGGATATACAATTAGTTATAACCAAATGTTTTTAGTCTCAATAAGCTCATGCGTCGGTGGCACAGCGGTTAGGACGCTTGCCGACCACGCACATGGTCCAGGGTTCGATCACCAGCTGACGCACTCCTTTACCTCGCTAAGCCAAAAATAAAAACGCTGGTAAAGAGGAAAGGTTGGGCATGAGGCTGGCTAGCAGCCCCATCCTGTAAAAATAATCACTGCTGCAGAAACTTCAAGCCTCTAGCTTGAATCCCTATGTTCCACTGGGAACGTGAAGGAAAAATATATATAAGCTCATGAGAGGTCTGTAAGGTGTTATCTTACAGACCTCTTACCGTGTGTAACAGAAGACAAGGCCCAGGCAACAGATCGTTTATTTAGGAAATCAACAGATATTTATAGATTTTCATGTACATTATTATAGATTATTGTAAGCAAACAAATACAGTCTTCTGATTGGTGGTTTTTTGTTGAACGTTAATCTTTCATCTCTTTGTGGCCGTTTATTGAAGTTCAGATTATCTATCTGCTAATTGTATCCACCTACGCAAAGTCTGCTGTGACTGGTTGTTGAATCAGTCTTTGTTTTTGATTTTTCTCATGATCAATATTGGGGATGTAAACAGTGACGTAAATTACTGTCTACCAATTTGGCTAGCAGGCAGCTCTCACCACAACCATAGATCAACTGATCACTAGGGAATAATCAGGATTATGAGCGCACTAGAGTCTGTTGTGTTGACGTAAACTGCATTCTATTAGTCAAGTTTGTAAAGCTGACTGACTTGCTTTCGTGAGATGGTTTGAATTGGCATTTGGGGCAGCCACCAGGAAGCCTTAAACCAACATACTCATTGAGGTTACGGCAAAAGTGAGGTATCCTAGAGTTCAAAGTTATGCGATAAAATAAACCTATATATATATATATATATATATATATATATATATATATATAATGAATCAGTCTGATTCGGCTCTCGAATTATTCCAGGAAGTTCGCAACATCTACTGTCTGGAAACTTATTATTATTATTAATTCCTTCACGTACGCAGTGGAGCATAGGGCTTCAAGCTAAAGGCTTGAAGTTTCTGCAGCAGTGTTTATTTTTACAGGATGAGGTTGCTAGCCTCGTGCCCAACCTTTCCTCTTTACCAGCGTTTTTATTTTTGGCTTAGCGAGGTAAAGGAGTGCGTCAGCCGGGGATCGAACCCCGGACCATGTGCACGGTTGGCGAGCTTCCTAACCGCTGTACCACCGACGCACTGGAAACTTATAAAACCCATATATGATTTGAAACTTGAATTAGAAGGAAAACTTTTGAAAATAAAGGAGCACTGAAAAGCTTTGGGCCCGAATATGACAAATAACAGTTCTCATATATTGTCTGGTGGATCTCAGAGGTTATAACATTTTTAAAAATTTTTTGATTTCACACCATATTTTTGGTACAAGTATGGATTTTTCAGCATATGATGTCGGTAGCCCAAATTTAGCAGGCCGACCAACTGATGTCAGGTGTGCATCGGCAGCGGATCAAGCCCCGGACCATTTGCATGATCGGCAAGAGTTGTAACCTCTGTGCCACCAACGCATCTCATAAGATGGATAGGGGAGGGATTGCAGTAGGTCGTGAACTGATAAGTGTCTTGAGGTATACATATACTGAGCATGCTGAAAGATTTGAAGATATTGATTTAAATATTGCATAATATGGTGACAAATCGACAGTGTTGACAACTGACAAATACATATTGATTTTCAAAGCTTTTATAAGTACTGTTAATGCCTGATGAGATTTGGCATAACTGTTTCTGAAGGAATCAGACATTAGGGAGTACAGAACCCTAGTTTGTTTGGAGTGTGAATAATTATCATCAAAAACACTCCGGTCAGCAAGACACCCACGGGCAGATACTTTACCGAAAAAAATCATCATCGAAGTTATCAGTGTCTCCTAAGTTGGATTAAATAGTCACGGGTCTGAATAAAGAAACAGCAAAAACAGAACCTCAGATGAACATAGAGGAGACAGAGGTAGTGAGGACACCAAACCAGCAGCAACGACAACAATAAGCACCAGACTCCACCGAATGGAGGAAACTAAAGTCAGTCAACTTTTCCAAACACCTGCAGAGCATTATTTCGACTGTAGGCGGTAACACGAATGACGATGCCAAAGCCACCACTTGGAAAGCAAGACAAACCTTCATTTGCCTGTATTCAGCCTGAAAATCTACTCCATTAAACACCTCAGGAACAAGATCCAAATGCGAAACACTAATGTAAAGTCAGTCGGTGTTTCAGTATGGTTTGGAGACAAGTTTGAAGTGGGTCCAAGAGTGACAGGAAGTAGCTCGTATATGGAAGAGATGATTGATTATGGGTACTGGAGAAGTCAGCTCGAAAGAATTGAGAACAACAGACTGAAATAGAGAAATAACATATTAATATATCTAATAAAACTATAGTCACTCGCATTTAGTTGAATTTCGTAGATTATAGTGACAAATTAGTGAAATGCGAGATACAATCAAAATGCTTTTCAGATTATAGAATTTAGGATCTATTACATTTATCAGAAACCAATATCAGGGATTACTGGACAACTGTTTCGTCCAAGTTTAGGACTCTTCATCAGTGAGAAACCACAAAGTAAGACACTGCATCAGCCAGATATAATGGAGACGATTTGTAACTCAGATGGATGATTTTGATGTAGTTGTGTTCTCTGAGCTGGATTGTTTATTTGCGAAGTTTTCATTGCCCCGTACTAGACAACGTCTTCAGCGCATACACTTCAATTCGATAAAGTGAGCTTTTAGATTTCTCCCAGGGTTTTTAAGTCATCTCTCCCGGTGACTTTGAACGTGATTGGTTGTTGGTGTTTGTTTTCACACCCTCTAGAATATGCGCTGAAATTGTCTCGTCCATGTTTAGAACTCTTCACCAAAGTGAAACCACTATCCCACCAGGGATCGAACCTGGGATCTCCAGATTACGACATCGATCCCGTTGACCATTCAGCCATTTGAGGTAGAATTCAATGACCCAGGAATTTCAGCCCCAGGAATTCCATCCAACGGGCCATCAATTGGCTGGAGACTGATACGATTTATGGCTAGTTTGGATTCATTACAAGTGGCTAGATTGTCATCGAGTTTGATCTCATGACCTCGATCCCCAGCGTGGTTGCGGATGCTCACTGATAAGGAGTTCGAACACTAAGACAGAAAAACTGTCCACTGCTCCTTGACCTTTAATGATCTCTCTAACTAATGTTGAATCATGACCAAACTCTTAAAAGTCTAAAATGCTTTTCGTCTGAAACCTACCTCGAAAATAATTAATACGATAGTTACATAGCATACTGCATCTAAATACTTTAAGATGTATTGTTCAAATTTATCCTTGCAACCATCCTGAATGTAACTGTTATCATTGGTGAATGATTTAGGACAAGATGGATCTTCAAGGGAGAAACTATTCGTCATTTTACAGCACGGTATAGGATACTTCAAATCTGAAAGGAAAAATGTTGACAAGAAATGAATAAAAATGCAACCACACATTTCCAGATCATCTTAATTTCAAAAATATCGATTAGGATAATTAGAGGATACAACTTAAGCCAATGTATAAGTTTGTCTTTTAAAAGGTGATTTCTCACCAGGTCTTAAAACTATATAAAAATATTAATCAAAGATATCTGAAACCAATGTGGGCTAACCGAATTAAAGCTCAAATATTTGAACTATTATTATTATTGTTCCCTTGGGTTCCTAGTGGAACATAGGGCTTCAACTACACGTCTCCACTTGCTTCTGTCTTCTGCTGTGTTTTTCACCTGCATCCATGTTAATCCATACTGCTTCAATTCCTCTTCGCACGATCTCCATGTCACCCTTGGACGTCCCACTCGCCGCTTCCCTTTCGGGTTCCACTAGAGCACTGGCCTGATGCGCGATGTTACCCAACGGCCTCCTCAGCGAGTGTCCAATCCATCTCCACTTTCTCCTGCATATTTGTTGGCCGATTGGTTCTTGTTTTGTTTGTTCCCATAGTCGCATGTTGGTGATTCTTTCCGGTGGCCATTTGATCTTCAGTATAGAACGAAGACAGCTGTTGATAAAGGTCTGCAACAGGCTGTTGGAAATATTCTTTGTGACCCACCAAGTTTCTAATCCGTATAGAAGAACTGACTTGACGTTTGTATTGAAAATCCGAATTTTGTTGTTGATGCTGAGTGAGGGACGAAGATTTCCAGATTGGTTTCAGGTTGATGAATGTGTTTCTCGCCTTCCCGATCGATTCTCGATTTGACATCCTCGCCCGTTCCTCCTGTAGTTGAGACAATGCTCCCTAGATAAGTGAATGAAGTAACCTCTTTCAAATCGCTCCCATTGATGGTGATTGGCACTGGATGTTGCTGCTTCTGTTGTTGCTGTTGGTTGGTTGGTTATTATCATAACCTCCATCTTGTCTATGTTCACCTGGAGTCCTGTCTTTGCTGCCAGTCTCTTCGACCAGTTTGTCGGTTTTCGCTTGTAAGTCTTCGATTTTGTGTGACATCAAACATAAATCATCCACGCGCGAAATTCAGGTCTTCTAGGTCCTTCACGTCGGTCCAGGATATCCCTGTCTTCTCGTTTCCCACTGTCAGACGCATAATCCAGTCCACCACAATTAGGAATATCATTGGTGATAATAAGCACCCTTGTCTGACTCCTGTGTTTACTCCAAACGCTTCGCTGAGTTTTCCGTTGTGGATCACTTGACATGTGCGGTTGTCGTACGGCTGTTGAATTAGTGGATAATAATCAAGGCGATCAAAATAATAGTAATAAGTCTCAAAAGGTGGTTTGTTTCAAGTTTTGTCTTGGATCAGTGTTAGTCAGAAAACCATCGAAAGCCAGGGGGTATTAGACGGCAGTCTCACGACTTTAGAGAATTAAAACAATTAGCCAGTTTGGTAAATTTGAACATCAGCGAGATACTAACAAAGCTCCTCAGAAATGCGGTAAAGCAAAGAGCATTCCCTGCTACTGCTGCTGAATTACTCTGTGTCTTCAAAACCACTCGTCTTTTGCATTCGGAAGTAAAAGATAAACTGCCTAATTTCGTCTCTTCTATGTGGGTGTATTTATCAGTTTAACTGCTCCTGTGGAGTGAGCCAGTTAGCTGCTTAGGCCATACAAATAGGCGTGTTTCTCGTCTAATTTCCGAACATCATCCTGGATGGTGGTTAAGCAAAGGACAAACAAAATCTATTCGTAGCACTATTCTATCTCATCTTGTGGATACAGAACACAAGATTGTTGTTAACCAGGCTTTCAGGGTCATTTACCGCATACCAACAAATCTCAATTTCGCTTTAAGAGTTCGACTTCTAAATATTGCTGAGGTTGTGGGGATTCATATTAATAAGCCTAATTTATGCACCCAAAAGAAGTTAGTTCAGTCATTATCATTACCTTTGCCATCCAGGTTTGAATAATCCAGAATTTTTGTGAAATTTCCCTAATTTTAGTTGATATTATATTTGCTATTATATCTTTGTTATTATTATAATGAACTGTGATTCCGTTGTGATCTTACTTAACAAATCGATATTATTTAAAAAACATTAATATTGTTATTGACTACTATTCTAGAATATTCTATGTATATAAACATATATATGTATAATTGTACAGCCAGAAGAGAAATTTATCGAAAAGGATATTCTTTGCTCAATTATTTTGTGTATTATAAATTTGAATGCCGCATTAAGAAGACAAATTTTGCCAGATGATATCGTCATTTCGTAGTTTCTCTACAATCGCTTTACAACTAGCACGGTTCACAATGATTAAATAGAGTAAACTGAATGACAATTGCTAAGTTGTTAAATACAACAAAACTACACACTAATGACCAATCATATTTGTAAGTAAGTTAAGTAGTCAATTCATGGTAGGCGAAGAAACGTTGAAGTCTATTGTTTTTTGTACACACATAGTTTAAGATGTATGTGATTAATTCCCCAAAGTGCTTCCATCACCTTCAATAACCAACCTTGAATGAGATTTATGCGATGAAATAATTGTGAAGCAGTCATTAATTATTATTGATTTAAGTAACTTGAAAATCCCCATTCAGTCATATAAAAGAAAAGAAGGTGTTCAGCGAAGAGACTCTTTTCGGTGAATTCATTCACTGAGCTGTACAATCGCATATTTTATACAATTTTGTTTGTGTGTGTGTACATTAGATTTATAAAGTTTAGATAATTACGTAATATAAGTACTTTTTGGCTTGGAGACAAATGTTAAGATGGAAAATAAAGTAGAATTGATTAAGTGAATTGGATGACGTAATACAGTTGAGTAGAATTCAGATTAGGTCAGGTTGGCAACAATGTTAATGGGTGGTGTTTAAAATCAAATAAGGGTGGGGTTAGAGAATAATACAGTTGAAAATAAGTAAGTTAATCGGATGACGTAACACAGTGGACTATAAATTGGACGTGGGTCAAGTTAGTAACATTGTTAATGAGGGTAGAGATTACAAAAGGGTGGGATAGAGAATAAAATAAATGAAGATGTGAAATAATAAAACGCAAAAGACAAAATAATACAATAAGTAAGACTGAAATTAAGAAAGATTACGTCCATTGTAGATTTAATGAATGAACGAATTTCTTTTGTATGCAGAGTTCAGGATTTAGCAGATGAATTGCCATTGATTCTGCGATGTGGAGAAGTTTGATCCGTACACTTTTACCAAGATTGCCTCGTATTCTGTAGATAACTTTCAAGTTTATTTCTGGTTTGACTTGGTGTCCAGAGTCGATCAAATGTTCAAGGATCGAGCTGCGGGGACATCGGTTTTCTCCTTTATAAAACCATGAAGGTAAATGTTCGTTGACGCGTTTGGATAGCGAACGCTGAGTACGGCCGATATACCTGGCTCCACACGAGCAGGTGAATTGGTAGATGCACATAGATGAGGCCAACAGCGGTAGCTTATTATTGACTTTGTGACCTGACATTAAGAAGTGCTTTGCAATGGATGATGATGATGGATTTCTATTCAGATTAATAATTGCATTGGGATTTTCTATGTGCCTTAATAACCATTTTGGAACATGGATGAAGTAGAGTCCACAGACTTTCGTCCATTAATCGTAGGTACAGGGATAGGAAATGTTCGGTGTTTGAGGTAAAGAGATGTGGCGTATAATGTGCGCTTGATGGCTGTCAATCGAGTTGTCAACCCTTGAATAATAGTAGGTTAATAAAGATAGCTTTCTTTGGTACAGAATCTGTCTTTTCAAGATGTGGTCTATCCTTACTGTGACAAGTGATAAATTTTCCTGAATAACCATTACCTAATATACCTGAATGTATATGTCGAAGTTCATCCATAAATGTGTCGCTGGTGCATGTATTTGCGGACCCTTAAAAACAAACATTTCACTCACTAAGGAAGATCTTTACTGGATCGGAGCAAAACTGCTGAAGTTAAGACATTATCCACTCCATATCTGCATGCTACTGAAGAGTCCCAAACCATGACGAAATAACCACCCACTGCTGCATGGCTTACGATAGTTTTCTAAACGATACCAATTTGTGATCAAACTGGAGAATAACTTTTACTGATAAAGTAGGAGAACTTACCAACATATTGTGTTTTGTCGTAAACATCAGTCGTTGAGAAGTGACCAGAATGTTTAAAGTCTTCACCGTTTTCATATCCACAGCAGTGTAGCTTGAATTATTCATACAAATAGGAAGAAAGTAGTTATATACTATTTTATTAAAAGTATTAAAGCATAAGTGTATATATTATTAATAATAATAAATTATCTTTCTGCGTAGTTTTCAGAAAGTAAGGAGCTCATTTTGAACATTTCCTCCACAGTTTCGTTGATTTCAAGGAATAATGACAGTGAATGCAATTGAGTAGACTGTTGGTAACGTTTGATGCACAACTCTATGTACTAATGAGTGAATAGCGTGAGTAGTCCGACATCTACCGCTGTGCCACCGACTCAAACTTGCAGAATGCTATTCACCGCCTCGAGGGTGGAGATGAGGTGTGTTGGAGTACCTGAGCAACGATCCCAGTACCTCTCGCATGCCAAGCGAGAGTGCGTCGGTGATATAGAGGTTATGATGCTCGCCGACCATGCACATGGTCCGGAATTCGATCCCCGGCCGCCAACGCACTCCTTTACCTCGCTTAGCCAGAAATAATGCTGGTGAAGAGGAAAGGTTGGGCATGGGGCTAGCAACCCCATCCTGTAAAATAATAAACACTGCTACAGAAACTTCAAGCCGCTAGCTCGAAGCCCTATGTTCCACTGGGGAACGTGAAGGAAAAAATGTCCGACATCGCTTGCTAGCCAGAGTGAAGTGATCTGAATTCGTCAGCAGTGCACTTGGTGGTGAGACGCAGGAAAAAACAGGAGGGAGTGGTTTAGCTGTTCAGCTCCAGGAAATATGGGGTTAACATTATCGAGTAATACTTATATTTCTAGTGGGTACAGTAAAACACATCCCGCTCAATGTTATTTAAGTCAGACAAATACTGTTCTCAGGTGATCAGTGATCCATCTCATCAAATATATATAACTTCATGATCCGTAAAAGGATATACGCCAAATCTGCTGGGTTGACATAATGGTATCGTAGCAGATCACGACTCAAGAGGACTACTGTTCACTACTAGTACTACTACTACTATTCACAGGTGAGTCTTGTTACCCGTACAGAAAACCACCGACTTAAGTAGGAAAACAGACTGTAACCACTGAACTGAATAGCCACGACATCATGTTGTAGACTTGATGGGGGAGTGAAATTCTACACGTCATTGAATTCCAGTTCAGAGGCGAAATAGAAAACGTGTGCTACTCACGACGTGAAGCTAATAATTTCGATCCTCAAATGTCGCTTTGACTGAATTTAATTGTTTACAAGTTTGACCACGAGACGACATCAGTTAGAAAATCACTGGAAAACCATACACAGTATTGGACAGCTGCTTCATCTTCGGGTTTGAAACCATAACCTTCCGGTTACAAGGCGAGCCCGCAGACCATTCAGCCACTAGGACCCGATCCGATAGCCCGTGGATTCAGACTTCTGACCCCGGCGGGTGCGTGGTGCTGAAAAGCCTCGGAGTAGGAAGAAGCAGCTATCCAGTGTTCTCCGGCTTTCCAATGGTTATTTAACTGATGTTAGCTCTTCATCAGACTTCTAATTTCGATTCATCGGCAGGAAGTGATGTTCTCTAAGTACTATTAACATTAGTTGTCAGATAAATTTCGTTCTTTCGCATAAATAAATATATTAAAATCAGTTTAGTAGTTGTTTCATTTCTTGACTGTGTTATACTATGGGTCCCATTTGAGCAGATTTCTTTCTAGGTAAACTTGAAAATGTACCTTTGAGCAACCCCTTATCATAAAATTCTCATTTCATTGCCGGTATATGGATGACACCTTGATTCTTTGTAAAAATGATTCAGATAGGAACACAATAATAACCGGATTCAATGAAGTACATTCTGCTGTGAAATTCACGTGTGAAGAGGGATCCCAAAATAGGATTAATTGCCTTCCTAGATGTCCTCCTGACAAGAAAACTGGATGGCAGTATACAGAGAAGTTTGCATTGGAAAGGCACGTGGACAGGACAATTTACACACATTTGCACAGTTTCGTTCTTCTTCAGTAGAAAAAAATTCAGTAGGGACTCTGAGCCATAGGGTGATAGTTGGAGCTATGTGCTAAGAGGAGCTGACTGAAGATGAACTAAGAGTTGTAGATGATACTTTGATTGAAAATAGCCATCCCGATAAATTCATCGAGAAACATATGACAGAGAAAGCTGGAAAGGACTATTCACTATCCGTAAACGAGAAGCCTTTATACATACGAGTGCAGTTCAAGGACGATTCATCTAGGGAAATAATTACGAAGAAGTTAAGAAAATAAGTTCAAAGAACTTTGAATGCTGGCAAATTACAGGTCTTATTTTCTACATGACCGATGGTGACTTCTCAATTGAAAGATGAAGGACCTAGACTAGCCACTTCCAATTGTATCTACCCATTCAAGGGCTCGGGAACATCTACCAGTGTGGCTAAATAAAGGTGTAGTGAAAACCATTAACAGTTCGATATTAGACCATCTGGTTAGAACCGGCCATAAAACCAGCAATGAAGAATCCTTCTCTATCATCAGCTTTCGGGTACCAAATAAATTGTCAAAAATATCCAGCTACCGCATACTCTACACAGAAGAGGCTATTGCGATTCGCGTCAAACAACGAGTACTCTGTGTTCAAAAAAAGCAAGTCCAACCCCTACTACTGCCCTGGCCGGCCTTCTGAAGAGACTGTAAATTCATGAATTTGTATTACTATCTTTCCTAATCTTTCTGATATTCATTCAGTTTATTGTTATGTTGATGTTATCGAACTGTAATCCGTTGATATTATTATTACTGATTCGATGTTATTTAAACAACATTAATGTTGTTCATCACACTAATTCATTCATTATTGTGGATGGATATATAACTGTAGAAACTGATGATGAAGAGCAGGTTATCGTAAAGAATATTCTTTGTTCAGTAACCATTCTTTTTAAAGAAAATCGTTTAAAAATCCCAACCCGCATTCACTGCAGTAGGGTAATTTCGTAAACAGTAAAACTTACAACGGGCATCATAATACCAAGGAATAGGCTACTGTCTCCTTCACTCTCCAGTGAGACATAATTATTAACAGCATTGGACAGTTGTTCTCTGATATATTTTCTAGGCTGAAATATGGACGGAAAAAAATCGTAAATTACGGTGTATTTAATATGCATATATATATATATATCGAAAACTGGTAGGGAGCCTTGATTAATTTAGGTTCTATGTTTGTTGGTACTCACCAATGAGGCATATACATAAACACATAGGGAACGTGATTAGTATCTAATGCTAATATCAAGTCAGTAGGTGCTACTATATATGCTTCACAGACTTGGTACATAACCAGAAGCATTTCCAACTGACTGGAGACTTTCATCAACAACTGCCTTCACTCCACACTCAAGATGACATGACCAGACAGAAAAGAGAAACAAGAAGAAGTTGTGGTAACGAAACAGCCAGGGATGTATTGCGCAAGAATATACATAAGGAAATGGAGATTGGCCGTTGAGTAACATAGCGCACCAGGTTCTCGATAGGATCCCAAATGAGTCCGGTGATAACACAGAGGAGAACAGTGGAGGAGGAGTAGGAGTAGCAAGCGAAAGCTTATGAGCAGAATTCAATGACCTGTGGATTCTAACTTCCATCAATTCGCAATGAAGGTCCTGGGTCCAGTTCCTGGTGAGGTCGTCGATGGGTACTACTGAAGAGTCCTGAACTAGGACAAAGCCACTGTTCAATACTTCCTGATTTTCAATGATTTTCTAACTGACATCACTCCGTAACCAAGCTGAAATCATTTCTTTTCGCTGAAATGCACTTGATTTCTTCGGTGTTGAATAGGAACCCTACAGTATTTACTTATTTATTTTTTAAGAATGTAAATCATTCGTCATTGGAACCAGCATTCTGACGTACAATAACAATTTGTAAACGTATAGATTTTCAAAGGTCACCTTTTTGTAATATTCACAAGCGTTACTGTTAGCGTATCGCAGAAATCTCTGACTCCTAACCTATTCAGTCAGGTGATGATTGCTGTTGTGTTAACTTAACTAGTTCGGTGTTCTTCAGCACATAAACATCAAGCTCACAGTCAAAGTGACTACTGAATTCAGTCTTTCTGTCTGTCGAAAACATTCTGTGAAATATGAAGACGTAAACATAGATCGTCAATCCCTTACCAGTGTCATATCGATTTCCTGAGAGGGGACCTTACCTTCAAAATCACATTTTGTCTACAACCTTCAGGTATGCGGCTTTTATGAGGAACTTTTCCAGTCACGGGAAATTCTGATCTGTTCTGCTGTGTAGTTGAAAATATTCTGTATAAATTTTATGTGTAATCAGTGTTTTATATTGAACAAGGTCAGCCTTTAAAAGATCCCATCACTCTCAGTCTTGTAGTAATTTAAATGTTCAGTGAATAATGAAGTCCTGAGGGACGGATGAGGGGCAATAATTAGTATTTAATACTACTAGTCTGATTGTCATTTATGTCTTGTATCTTGTATCTTGAGCACTTTAGGATAACATTTTAAATCAAACTTCAGTGTATGTAGGGAATATTTTTAAACAACATGAATTTCTCCATATTAGTTTGTTTAATAGATGTATCACACAGTCACTGAAACAATATTATTATTTACTGGATGACACAGTTTCGAACACAATTTATTTATCGTTCATAACCACATCAACTATAATCACATGACTTCGAAACTTGAGTTATATAGCTTTCTTTGTTCTCTTCTATTTGTCCTCGTTGGGGTAGTATAATTTCCCAGATGTCCGGGTGGACAAGTGTTGAATCATTCAACTACACGTGTTTGCAGTTGATTCGATAAACAAAGCTTCTGTTTTCAATCTCTCTCTCCACTCTGTTACATTACATCCTGTTGTATGGTTGTGTGTAATTGCATGTAGGGGATGCTATAGCTGAGCTATTCTCCAGAGTTCTTATCTTATTACGATCAACTAATCTAGATTTTGCTGCAAGGTTTTTATGCTTTGCTAGTCTGACTGACCATGTTCGACTACTTTGACCTTTGTATTCGACCTGACAGTTATTCCGCCAAGGTATTGCATAAACCAAATTCTTTTGCTTAATTGGCTCCCCAGTATCCTTTAACCGACAAAGCTTGTTTCTAATTGAGTTTGTGGGTTTGAACGCCATCCACTTTTATTCCTGCCTTGTTAAGAATTCTGCGTAAGGGATCCGAGGCCCCTTCCTTGTATGGAATTACTACTGATGATTTAGATTCCTTATTGTTGGAACGTTTAAAACAAAACAATTTAGTCTAGCTAATACCCTGCCTGTGGTGATTATCACGTCAAATATATAGGTTGAAGTAGTAGAACGGGATCAGTCAGACTAGCGGAGAACAGAAACCTAGCAAAATGTAGATTGGTTGACCCGAATAAGATAAGAAATCTAGAGAATAGTTCAGCTGTAGCTCTCACCACATGCAATTACACACAACCAAACGACAGGATGACATACAATGACAGTTTTAAAATTTAATGTAACAGGGTGAATGGAGGGAGAGATTGATAACGGAAGCTTTGTTTATCTAGTCAATTACAAACACGTGTAACAGGAATGATTCAACACCTGTCCACCCAGATATCTGGAAAATTCTGCTACCCAGCGACGACGAATAGGAGAGAACAAAGAAGACTATAAAACTCAAGTTTCGAAGTTGTGTGATTATCATTGATGATATGATTATGAACAGTAATAAATTTTGTTTGAAACTGTGTCATCCAGTAAATAATAGTTACCTTTAACTGACTGTGTGATACATCTAATAAACAAACTAAAATAGAATTACTTACTACTACGGTGCCCAGGTTTTACACATATGTTAGCATGAATTACTCAAATGACCAATAGTGAGAAATTTCGTGTTCCCCGGCAAACTTTCACGCTACACGAAAGCTACAGGAAAGAGTGAGTTTTTAGCGGACCAACAGGCTTTAGCCCAGAAGAATTTTGCATTTAAACCAAAAAAAGAAAAACTTTAAAAAGCGAACCTCTAGAGATTACCGATATTAAATGATGTGATAATAATTCCTAATGATACATTTCTTCATGAACATGTTTCAGTTTATGAGTAAACATTAAATTTCTCAGATTGAAATACGTATCTCGCTTTTCTAAATTTAAGCAGAAGTTTTGTAAGTATTGATTTGTAGGACTTTGAAGGTTTACTGGATTGATCATGAACTGACAACAGTCAGATAATTATTCATAAAAACTGAGTAGTACTGGGAAACAATTTCGTCCGGTTGCAGAACTCTTCGAAATCGAGCATGCACAACGGTTGGAAGCCACTACCTTCTGGCTTCAAGGCCAGTTTATAGACCAATCAGCCAGTAAGACTCGAGCCAATGACCAGCCCATGAATTCTGACTTATGCCACTTCACGATAGGTAGCCTAATCACCAGTCAGCAATATCGACAAGTAACTGTCCTCCTGAGAACTTTGTGAACCACTCTGATCAAGCCTTATCACTAGGACTCCAGTTAACTTGTTGCATAAACCCAATTGCTAGTGAACATCAAAAGTAATTGGCCATCAGAGCGGATCACAATGGCTGAATGGAATTCGAGTTAGCCTTGTAACCGGTTAGTTATAATTTTGAGCCTCAGTGAGTGCGTACTCCTGAAGAGTTGCAATTCAGGACGAAACATCTATCCAGTACTTCCTGGTTTTCTGATGTCTCTGATGTCACCTGATGTCACCTCATGATTAAGAAGTAGTATCTGAAAGTTTATTCCAGTATTTTTTTTAATCATTGTTTACGTATGCTAACCGTGGTTGAGAGTAAAATCCAGAAAGCGAGTTGTGTTCCATCTAGGACTAATCACCCGGTAAGTGGTGTTCTAACTGAGGCTTGAATCCAGCACCAACGTTTATCAACAGATATAGTGCATTTCAGTCGAACAAAATCAATCGGTCAACGGAAATTTCAAAATAATTCCAAAGAGAGGTAGGTGATGTATAGGTGGGATAAAACTTAGGGAGTGGAGGCAACCTCTCCTGCTTAATATATATATGTTTTGAAAGGTATGACCAACTTACTAAATCTTTATTTCCGAAGTAGAGAACAATCATAATAAACTGAAGGACAATGGCAATAGTCAACACGGTCAAATACTAGAAAGTAAAGAGAAAAACGAAGAGAATCAATTGCATATTGAATGAATGAGATATATCGAGTAAATTCTAACTTCATATTATACTTGAAATAATACTGTAACGACAGAAGACAACGGCCAGCCAGGCAACAAACAGATCGTTTATTGAGAAAATCAACAGATATTTATAGATTTTTGTATGTACATTATTGTCAGCGGAGAAGCAACCTCTTCTGATCGGTTGTTTTCTCGCTCAAGGTTATTCTGCACTGCCTGTGACCGTTTCTTAGAAAGTGAAGCCATATATCTGCGTATCGTATTTGCACATGTTAAGTCTGCTGTGATTGGTTGATGAGTTCCTCAAGGTTAGGAGGCTTTGTTATTGTGCCCTTTTTTCTCATGCCCAATTCGGAACGTAACACTGACGTAAATTGTTGTCTACAATTTTGACTTGCAGACAGCCCTCACCACAATATGATGATAAAAGTATTTAACTTTAGCAACAATTTGATACCATATATGTTTCAAAAAGTGAGCAGATTCATTCGTATGGAGCCAATATAGAGCTAATGCGGAACTGGAGCTTAGTGTATTCCAACGAAGGTTGGTGGGTAGGGAATGAGAACCTTAAACCTACTTCCCATTTTTTGCCGATGACTCTGACGATAAATTCTATGGGACTTCTTGTCTAACACCATTAATCAACTTCGCTTGTGTATTGATTAATATTGGCAAATATGATTGTTTGTCCCCACACTCGACCTGGTGGACCTCACAGATCACAACTGCTCACTAGAACTCCAGGGAACTTTGTCCGGTAGCCAGTCGCCAGCGAGCATCATATTAATTGTCAACAGTTAGTTTGTAGATATTTAATTTATTTCAAGTTTGATGGTGAATTAACGTAAGTTAGAGAACCACTAAAGACCAGAAAGTACTGGACGACTGTTTTGTCCTTGATTGGGACTCGTCGGTACTAGACAGCCATAGAGATTCACGCCCATGAACTGCCGGTTACAAGATTAGCTCGTAGACCATTCAGCAACTGATGTTTGCAAGTGACTAGCTTCAAGACATAGTTGTTCGGTGTTCTTGTGAGAATCCATGGTCAGTGTGGTTCATTAGGTCGGGTGTGAGGACAAATACTCGCTGATAGCACTGGCTAGTGGTTGTGTTAAAATCAAGAATTGGTAAAAGTTGGAATTCATGGGACGCTGAATGGAGTTCCAGTACAGCTAAAGAAAAATAAATCGCCAAGAAGAGCCTCTTTGTCAACTTACGTTTTTATTTTCTTTTTACACTGGTACCTGAATGGAGATTAGTCATAAATTTTAAAAGTAAAATGACCTTGTCATCCTTCTCAGTGTTTATCTTTGCCATCTTCTGGTGTTCTTTTTAAAAAATTTTTTAGAAATTCATGCACACTGGTGCATGCACAAATTATGATTGTTTGTGCGTATTTGGATTAATTTCAATGGCTTTCACTTCATGAACTAAAATCAGCTGGATAGATCAGTGGGAACAAGCAAGTGAGGGATAATTGTTTTATCCTAGGCTGGAACTCTTCATCAGTGCACACTACGACCTCCTCAAGGGGTCAACCTCGGGATTTTCAGGGTATGAGATGAAGCTTACTAACCATTCAGCCACTTGGGCCACAATCCAGTGACCCGTGAATTATGACTTTGTTAATTTTTTTCCATGAGCATCTACTTCATGCTGACGTAGTGGATCCCATTGGTCAGGATTTCTCCAGACAGCTTCACGACATTCCTGATGACGTTATTCGATAAGGTACTTATGTTAGTCTTATAAATATAGCACAATACACAAAATTTATCGTTTAAGTTAGCATTTTTCAAAGTATTACTTTCATTCCCTAAAAAACTAATGAATTAAGTCATAAGAAAAAGGCGTAAACAGCGTAGAAGAAAATTTTCTTTTCAACGATTCCTTTGCACAGGCTGCTGTACAATCGTAATTACCATATTTAATAAAGAAGTCATAAGACGACCGATTAGATACTAGTAAACTTTGTCCTCGGAAAACGTATTAAGTAGTTTTCAAGTATTGGTTTTTGTAGGGATTTGGTTTGATTGGTTGCAGGAATTCATCATGAGCTGACTGACATCAGTTAGAGAACCATTGGAAACCCTGCAGGGAGTACTGCCAGACAGCTGTTTCCTCTGTCCTAGTTTGGGACTCGTCATCACCGGGATTCAAACCCGGGACCTTCTGGTTACAAGGCTAGAGAGCTACCTCGTAGACCATTAAGCCACTGGGACCCGATCCGATGGCCAGTCCATGAATTCCAACTTCTGTCAATTCTCGACATAGGGCGACCACTTCGCAATGTCTTCTTTGATGAGTTACTACCTCACTCTCAACCTGCTGCACCCTACTAGTCACGGCTTCCCACTAGAACTGCAGGTCACTGCCTGAATAGGGCGACTAACTGGAAATTAGAAAAGGAGCAGAAGTTGGCATGACGTAATAAGAGTGAGAAAATCACCAGTCAATATCATTGTGTAAAGTGGACAAGATCTAGTAGAGAGGCGACAAAGTGTTTCTTATAAAATTTCGCCCTACCGTGGTCAGAGTAACGTTCTCATTACAATTTCGCTTCCTTTTATTATGTAGGTTTAGTATTATTTTCATTGTTATTATTCTCATCATCCTTATTTTATTACCACTCTATTGCTGTTTATTAATAACACTGCGTTTTCATATGGATCTTCTATGAAAACACTTTATCGTCTTTCCACTAGTTCTTGTCCACTCTACACAATCATATTGATTAGTCATTTTCTCGCACTTATTAAATCATGCCGATTTATGCCCCTCTTCTAATTTACAGTTAGTCTCCCTACTCAGGCAATGACCTGGAGTTCTAGTGGGAAGCCGTGACCAGTAGGGTGCAGTAGGTTGAAAATCAATCAATAACTGATCGAAGAAGGCACTGCAAAGTGTTCGTGTTGTATCATGAATTGGCAGAAGTTAGACTTCATGGACTGGTCATTGGATCGGATCCTAGTGGCTTAATGGTCTACAAGCTAGCTAGCCTTGTAACCAAAAGGTCCTGGTTCGAACCCCTTTGGTGAACGCGTACTTCTGAAGAGCCCTAAACTAGATCGAAACAGCTGGCTGTCCAGTTCCCCCAGGTGCTTTTCCAATGGTTCTCTAACTGATGTCAGTTCATGATGAAATCCTCCAACCAATCAAAGTAAATCCCTACAAAAACCAATACTAGAAAACAACGTAAAGTAGGTTTTTTGAGGACAAATTTTACTAGTATCTGATTGGTCGTCTTATGAATTCTTTGCCAAATGTAATTACGGCTGTACAGAAGCTTATGCAGGTGAATCGTAGAAAAGAAAATTTTCTTCTATGCTGTTTGCATCTTTTTCTTACGACTCAATATGAAAATATTTCGTTCAATGAATCAAGTATCCAACTTACTGAGATAATTAAACATTTATATAGACCAATAGCTCCGAGAATCCCCAATAGAGATATTACCATTATTAAAGTGCCCAGAATAAACATGATGTAACTGAATTTAGCTGAAAGAAAAAGTTGTTCAGTTGATTTTTCTTCAATGAAAAAGAATTTTTTACTTATTTTTTTTTTGAAAACACAATAAATGGATAAATAAAAGTCAGTCAAAGAGTGCGAGTAGTTTTCGTACTGGAATCATTATTAACAAATTAAGAGAAGTTATTAAATTACTGGCTGAGGTTTGCATTACTGATTCACATTAACCATTATCATTATTATTATTTTTCCCTTGGTTTCCTAGTGGAACATAGGGAGCTTCAACAATACATCTCCAGTTTGTCCTATTTTCTGCTCTTCTCTCCATCTGGGTTCACGACTGCCAATAGGTTCTCACCTCTTCCTCCCCGCCACACGATCTCCTCCATATCACCCTTGAAGTGATGACTTACTTGTCGTTCCTCATTTGGATTCCACTCGAGTGGTGGTATGACATGCGTTATCATTCAACGGTCTCCTTAGAGTATGCTCAGTCCGTATCCATTTTCTTCTGAATATCTGTTAAGTAATCGGCTCTTGGTTGGTTTGTTGCCAGAGTTTCTCGCTGTTAGTTCTTTGTGATTCAGTCAGCTCCTAGTGTTCTAAACAATATCTTTAAATATTCCCATTTATAATATTAGAACAAGACATATAAGCGAACAATATTGTTTTCAATTAGATCTTCTTCAGGCTTTACTCTAATTTACATAGATTTATATATAAAATTTTAACCATTGACGGTGATTTTGGGAATCAAATAATAATCTTAATAGTCTTAATAATAATAATAATAATAATAATGTGGTAAATGTTTTGAACATAGTTAATAACGATGATTATAATGATAACAAAATATTGATAATAAAGTTTATGCAGGTGATAAGAATAACAAAGGTAGTATATGTATATAAGTGGAGTAATCTCAGAGGCAGCTTATAAATGTCTTAAACCTACTGGAAGTAATACTTCACGTCTGTACGGTCTGCCCAAAATACATAAACCAGTACTTCCTCTTCGCCCAGTCCTGGATATGTCAAATTCTACCTACCATGGAGTGGCAAAGTGGCTAAGTGAACTCCTCCAACCGCCACACAAGTTGGTAGTAAACCATAATGTTAAAGACGTTTTCGAATTTATTGCTAACGTGAATGATATCAATGTAAATGGGAAGCAGATGCTTTCCTTAGATGTAGCATCACTGTTTACCAATGTACCACTTATGGAGACTGTGGATTTCATATGCCAACAGATACTAGAAAAGCAGATTGACATCGGAATTCCAGTTATTAGTCTTAAAGAGTTGCTTTTAAGATGTAATATGAATGTACATTTCATATTCAACAACCTTTACTACAGGCAAATCGACGGTATTGCCATGGGTTCTCCATTGGGGCCAATTTTGGCAGATTTCTTTCTAGCCAAGATTGAAATTGGTCCATTGAGACAAGTAATAGAGAAAACTGATTCTTATTTTCGTTATGTTGATGATACGTTCATTATTCTTGATGTGAAAACTGACAAGAATGAAATGTTAAAAAAGTTTAATGATGCACATCCATCGCTCATCTTCACTTGTGAAGAAGAACATGATGGTGGATTACATTTCCTTGACGTCCAATTGAGCAGAAGAGAGGATGGTTCACTCAAGAGAGATGTCTATAGAAAACCTACATCTATAGGACAATATACACATTTCCTCAGTTTTGTACCAATCCGATATAAAATCAATTTGGTCAGATGCCTTACGAATAGAGCAAGACGTATTTGTACAGATGACTCCCTAGAAAATGAGCTAGGATATATCCAAAATACGCTGGTCCAAATGGGTTATCCTAGTAGATTTGTTAGGAGACACATGAATACCAGGTACAACAAAGAAAAACTGACAACAGTTAAACAGAAAGAACTGTTCATGAAACTTCAGTTTAATGGGGACGTGGCTAGTGAAGTCTTACATCTGAGATTATCGAGAGCGATAAAACGGACTTATACTGCCGCCACCCTTTGTTTGTCATTTTCCAGCCGACCAATTTTGATTGCTCAAGTGAAAGATAAGCTACCTAGTTGTGCCACTTCAATGTGTATCTATAAATTTAGTTGCTCCTGTGGAGAGAGGGAAATATAGCGCGAACAACTAGACAGCTCAACAAACGCATTAATGAGCATCTTCCTTCATGGTTCGGAAAAGGTCAAATAAAATCCATACGAAGTTCTATTTTGGCTCATTTGATTGATAGCGGTCACCAAGTGGACAAAAATAGTGCTTTCAAAGTTATTTATCGTATTCCATCGAGTCTTTCGAATAGAATCAGAAATTGTCTTTTACACCTAGCCGAAGCTATGGGAATTCGAGAGAACAATCCTAGTCTTTGCATTCAAAAGAAGTTTGTTCTACCTTTGTCTCTCCCTTGGTCTAGGTGAACTGTATTCAAAACCCTCCCACCCTTTCTTATTTTCCACCTCCTTCGTACTTTTATAATATTTATTTAAACTCTGATTATCGTTCCACTTCACCTTTTAAGATTTGACCCAATTTATTTATACACTTATATACATATACTACCTTTGTTATTCTTATCACCTGCATAAACCTTATTATCAATATTTTGTTATCATTATAATCATCGTTATTAACTATGTTCAAAACATTTACCACATTATTATTATTATTATTATTATTAAGACTATTAAGATTATTATTTGATTCCCAAAATCACCGTCAATGGTTAAAATTTTATATATAAATCTATGTAAATTAGAGTAAAGCCTGAAGAAGATCTAATTGAAAACAATATTGTTCGCTTATATGTCTTGTCCTAACCAATAGACAGAAGTCTCACCAGATTGAGGTAGAGTTCATCAACAGTGTGTCTGGTTCGGGTCATCTTAGAGAGTTCATTCCAATTCAAACCACCCGATTCCGCTCTCTGAACTGAGTAAGATCGGATAAACCACTGATGACTCCGACCCCAAACGAGTGAGACAGCCGTTCAGTGTTCAGATCACTTCAATCTAGCTAGCAGGTACTACTGGTTGATGTGATTAGTATGCAACTACTTGTCTCAGCCAATCAGTAGTATGTACTTTTATGCAAATAGACTATATTCTTCATTTTGTTATTTGTAAATTGTACACGATCACTGTATGTATTCATATATATAATAGTGGATGAATTAGTGTTATTAACAACATTAATGTTGTTTAAATAACATCGAATCAATAATATCAACAGATTACAGCTCAGTAGCACCGACATAACAATACGCTGAATGAATATCAGCGAAATAAGTCTCTACTGAAGGCCGACCAGAGCAATAGTAGGGGCTGGCTGAACGTGTTTCTGCTGCGCACAAATCACTGATTGTTTCAGGCAAATCGCGATAGCCTCTGCTGTTTGGAGTATGCGGTAGCTGGAATACTTTGGCAGTTTATTTGGTACCTGGTAGATGATAGGCAAGCACTATTCAATGCTGGGTTTGTGGTCAGTCGGTTTGGACCAGGTGATCTAATATCGAACTGTTGATGGTTTTTAATACACCTTTATTTAGCCATACTGGTAGATGTTCTCGAGCCCTCCACAAGCGCACTTGAATGAGTAGATAGAGTTAGAATTGACTAGTCTAGGTACTTCATCTCTCAGCTGGGGAATCACCACCGGTAGTGTGGGAAATAAAACTTTCAGTTTGACAGCATTCAAAGTTCCTTAAATTCATTTTCTTAACTTCTTCGTAATTATTTCGCTGGGTGTATCGTCCTTGAATTGCAGTCGTATATATAAAGGCTTCTTATTTACAGGTGGAGAATAGTTCTCTTCTGGTTTCTTGGTCATGTTTTTCTTGAGGAATTTGTCTGGATAGCTATTTCAATCAAGGTACCATACACCATCCCTAGTTCATCTTCAGTTACGTCTTCTGAGCACATAGCTCAAACCCTGTGGCTCAGGGTCCTTACTAAACTCCTCTCCAGTAGGAGAGGAAAGAGTCTATGAAAATGTGTGTATATTGTCCTCTCTATGTGCTTTTCCAAAGCAAATTTCTGTTAATATTACCACCTGGTTTTCTTGTAAGGAGGACATCTAGGAAGGCAATTAATCCTCTTTTTGGATTCCTCTACGCACGTGAATTTCACAGCAGAATGTACTTCATTGAATCTGGTTATTATTGTGTTCCTATCCGAATCATTATCACAAAGAATCAAGATGTCATCCATATATCGGCAATGAAATGAGAATTTTTTCAGATAAGGGGTTGCTCAAACGTCAATTGTTTTTTAGTTTACTTAGAAGAAAATCTGCCCAAAGTGGGACCCATAGTCTAACACAGTCAAGAAATGAAACAACTACTGACCTGATTTTAATATATTGATTGATGCAAAAGAACGAAATTTACCTGATTACTAATTTTCATAGTGCTTAGAGAATATCACTTCCTCCTGATGAATCAAAATTACAAGTCTGATCGCGAGCTAACATCAGTTAGAGAACCATTAGAAAACCAAAGAATACTAGATAGCTGCTTCTTCTTACTCCGAGGTTCTTCAGCGCCACGCACCCACCGGGGTGGCGCAATATATATTGGCAATTAGTGGAATTCTGAATTCATGGGTATCGGATTGGGTCCCAGTGGCTGAATGGTCTACGAACTTGTCTTGTAACCAGAATGTTATAGGTTCAAACCCGAAGATGGAGATGGTTTACCGGTGGTTTTCTAACTGGTGTCAGCCACAGTGGACAAAACGAATGCTCCTTAAGATCCTACCAGACCAGAAAGGTCGTTTGGATAGCGGTTAAATTACACCATCTTGGAAGTCTAGGAGCAAAGTTGTAGTGTTAGGGAACAGGAATATAACAGCAGCAAAGTGTTCGTCTCTGTCGACCAGTTATGCATCCTCTCAACTCTGGGGAGGAGAGTTAGGAAGGAAGTCTTACTCCTAAACTGCACACCTCGTCTTATCTTGTGGCCCATTATCAATCAAATACCGTGTTAATATCTACCAAATATCATGTTAATCATAAGCATAATAAAAGTTCTCGTATTAGCAAATGATAGTCCGTCATAGACGGAGTATTTTGGTCTGATGAAATTAGTCAGCGGAAAATACAAAATAAACATTTCAACAAACAACTTTTCAGAACTATAACCTATTCAGCGATGAAATGAACACTTCGTTGTCTTTGACAAAGAAGTCTTGACTGGAGGTGTTGCTTCATTTACAACAAATCAGCATAAATTAGGGTTCATGGTCTATTTCATCCTGTCCTGATACCCTCGTAATATGAATGTCTTTGGTTCGACCTCCGATACCCTCCCTCCCGGGTGCTTAGTGATGAAAAGCACCAGAACAAGACCCAAATACCTGTCTACTATTCCATAGCTTCCCATGTCTCTTTAACTAATATCGATTCCTGATGAAACCTAATTTTGGAAACATTCCCATCTCCTCAAATCAATACTGGAAAATAACAATCATTGGTTACACATCATATTTGGTGAAATGGTCAGAAACTAAGTGGAACTTACAAGTAAAGTTTATGATGTACTTTGCTAAATTGTCCAGATAACTTTCATCAATTTTTACATGTTGTTGAAGAAGTTGAACAAAACCGGAGACAATTTTTAAGCCTGTCGGTCTAGACCAAGTGAACAGTGCACCGATAATAACGTATACTAGAGAAAATAGCTTCAAAAATAAATGAAGGAATATGTAAGTTTATAGAAAGGTTAGATATGATTTGAATATATAGAAGAGTGATTAATCGTTATACGGATAGGGTTGTAATTCAGTGAAATAGGTTCCATTTTCTATGAAGTTTACTCCTTTGCGTTCAAAGCGGAACATAAGGCTTTAAGCTTGAGTCTTGAAGTTTCGGTAGCAGTAGGTTTACTTTAAAGGGTTGGGGTCCCTAGCCTAACGCCTAACATCCACTCTTCGGCAGGCTTACTAACAGCCTAACTAGGCTTAGGAGTGTTACAACCGGGGGTCTTATCGCGGATGATATGCATGGTTGGCAAGCATTCTACAGAGGAACCACGAATGCAGTCTCTATAGATCTACAGGTGCTAGGAAGCTACTATCCTAATACACACACGCATAACACGACCAGCCTCGTCCATTAGGACGTAACGTACGATAACGGACGTGCTTTATGGTAGATTGGTGGTTACTAGCAATCAGGTGTTAACGGTTTTCTACTCAGTTATGTATTCCCCTATATCAGTCAGAAATTCATTGAAAACCGTGGATCGCTGGACAGCAGTTTCGTTCTGGCTTGCGACTCTTCGGCCAGTGATATATGAATTATAGTTTCTGACAGTTCCCTACACAGGGTTACCACCAACTAATGTTATTGGCTGGGAGTTCTCTACATCTCAATGCACTGGAGGATACTGACCACTTTTCCCTGGAATTCTAGAATAAACATCTTGTAGTCACCAATGAATGCGTCGGTGGCATAGCGGTTAGGACGCTCGTCGACCATGCACATGGTCCAGGGTTCGATCCCCGGCTGACGCACTTCTTTATCTCGCTAAACCAGAAATAATGCTAGTGAAGAGAAGAGGTTGGGCATGAGGCTAGCAACCCCATCCTGTAAAATAAACACTGCTACAGAAACTTCAAGCCACTATCTTGAAGCCCTATGTTCCACTGGGGAACGTGAATGAAAAAAATACCAAAATGCGGACAAGGTGTTGGCATTTCAGGTTACTACCACACTTCATAGAAAGAAAATAAGGGCAGAAACCAAAATTTACATGTGAAAGCATAACCAAAGATTTTTTGAATTTGGATGATCACACAGAATGAATACATCTGAAGCATTGAGAATGATTTTAAGCCATCTCGGTGATTCCGTGGTAGAATCCTCGCCAACCACTGAAGCGGTTCTTGTTTGATTCACAGAGAATGCACTCCCAAAACCTGGCCTAGTTTACCAGTCTGTTGCGAGCCCGCACAAAGATGGAAGATTGGGTTTGAGGTTAGTGATCCACCGCTATGGAAACTTCGAAGGTTGGAGGCCTGTTTCCCCCCCACAGCGCAAAGAAGGAAGAGATCAGCAGTCTCTAGCCACTGGCTCCTAGCGTGTCTAGTTCTCTGCCCAGATAATCTACTCTAGCTTATTTGTCTTACGTCAACGGTCAGTGACTTCATGGAGAAAGATGACAAGGGTGTGTAGTACATCTCCTTGCTGTCTCAATCGAAACAGCTTCACAATCTCATCGGTTAATTTACCCTCCCTGCCTAACTAAAATTTTATGATTAACCTCATTACCTGTAAATATATCATACCAGTTAATGTACATACAAGTTATTTTCCTAATATTTTATTCAATTTTAGATTTTCTCGTCGACTGATTGATCGTCGACTGATCACTGCCTAATGCAAGCACATTCAGATGACGAGTCCCAAATAGGAAAAATGCGCATCCTGGCTGGATTGCACTGCTAGTTACCATCCACCAGCTAACTTCTATTTTCCTAATAGCTAATATAGAGTACGGAGAATTCAATGGCACCTATATATCCGCACCAACAGTTTAAGACCGAACTTACCAGTAGTAGGGTGTTCACCAGAATAATTATTAGCTGACACGGAAACTTCATTTTGAAAAGTCAATATATAATGTAATAAACTGTAAAAGAAACAAGAAAAAAGAAGGAGGAAGAATTCATAGAAACATTCTGTTAAGATGAAAAAATTAAACAAATCCAACCTCGTGAATATTCCTACATCATGAATTAATAATCCATATGAACGAAACAACACAAGTAGACAGAAGAAGCGCTGAGGACAGGACTTCAAGTAGACGTTCAACTAACAAGATGGAAGACTAAAAAGATCCATCTACAGAAAGACACCACTAAACAGAAAACTCACTAATTTTCATAGTCGGCTGCCTCTGTATCCTAAAGGAAAATTGATCCTCAGACAAGACCGACAATGTTGTAATAAGAAAAATGGGGGCAGCGTTGCTACTTTTATTCACTCCAAATGGTCTATTTCTAATAATGTTTGCTTCTCATTCTCAAATGACTTCATAGACTGTATCACTGTCGAATGTCATCCCAAACATCTCCCCAAATATAAACATATCTTTATTACAAACATGTACATTTCTCCAAGTTGCTCACTGTCTAATCTTTCAAATTTTGCTGATGAATTCACCATGTTTGCCGCTTCCAACTACGATAACTCTCTATCTGTTATTACTGGGGACTTCAACTCGTCAGATTGCTCTTTCCTTGAAGCACTTGGTCACTCAAACATTGTAAAATTTCCCACTCGACTTGACAAAACACTTGATTAAGTTTTTACAAATGACGAAGGAATGTATGAAACACGTAAACGTGCACCGATCCTCAACTCTGATCACTCAAAAGGATTAATGCTGAAATCAAATCTGACATCAAAAATCTTAATGCTATCTACAATGATACACTTTTATCATGCAAATCTCCTATCAGCATGTGGAAACTTTTTAATGAAATTACTGACAATAGTAAGCGTTGTAATGCTTTTCCCTCTTATGATGTTAATGCTCTTAATCAGTCTTTTATACGCTGTCCTTCTACTTTAACTACTTCTGTGTTACCTATCATGTAGCTGAAAACTTTCATGACTTTAATACTCTCGATGTTCCAAAATGTCTTAAAACGCTCAAGCCTTCACGTAGCCTTGGCCCTGATGGTATACCTGCATATGTTCTAAAACAATGCGCAGATGCTTTGTGTTCTCCACTAACCAACATCCTAAATGCTTCTCTCTCCAAAAATGTCGCACCTGATGCATGGAAAGACATTAAAATAGTCCCTGTCCCTAAACCTGGAAACGGCAAGAACGTAAAGTTCAGACCCATTGCCATTACTTCCCCGTTTCTAAAGCTTATGGAAAAACTAGTACTTCTTAAACTTGAACCCTCCTTTAAAAACTTTGAAGACCCCAAACTTATTATTATTATCTGCAGCACTTACAGCCCTGACAATATGGAAGAAGAACTGAAAACTCTGGGAAGAATCTTTCCTGGAAACGGCTACCTATAGCGTTTCATCACAAAATCCGTGAAGCTTAAACCAATAAAACCACCCACGTCTACCGCTCCTGAAAGACTTCTCTACATGAATCTACAATTCGTTGGAGAATCGTCGGCAGAGATATTGAGAAATTGCCTCTCCCACTCGACTAACTTTCTGCACGAAACCAATGATTCGCATGAAAGTAAAGGCTAAGTCATCACTGTTTGTTTAATAAGTGTGTATTTATCAATTCGCCCGCTCATTTGGAACTAGGTATCTTAGCCGTGCCCAGTGTCTGCTATCCAAACATATGGTCGATAACTCATCCACAGTCATGGTTTTATAAAGGAAGAAAAAGATCCCCCCAAAGCAGCTCTATCCTGGAACACCTAATAGAATCTGGATACCTAGGTAACCCAGAAACCAACTTCAGGTTCATCTACAGAGTACTTGGGAATCTCGCTAAAAGAGTACGCATCAAACTTCTTCAGACCGCAGATGTAGTGTCAGTGCACATTTTAAATCCTGAACTGTGCATACAGAAGTAGTCTTTTCAGCCCCTGAATCTACAATGAACCTAGTCTGTCTTAACACTGGGTAGGTAATCTTGGTTTTTTATTTCTCAATTGTATTATCTTCTTCCTTCACTCTCTACTGAATTTCTACCCCTTATTACCTACCATTGTTGTAAACTTGACCCTTGTTCAATTTTAGTTGAATTCTCCTCAGTCCCATCAGTTATATTACGTTATTTAACTTACTTATTGAATTTTATTTTAGTTTCTACCCGATCGGCACTTTGTTATATTACGTGATTTGTTATCTGAAATAAATTTGCAATTCTATAAATGCATCTTTGGAAATATTCCTTTTGTTGCTAAGAGAATTTATTAAATAGTATGTGATTGTACATCTTAAGAATGATATCGCTGAAAACAGTAACTCTTTACTGAGCGTCTTTTCTTTTTTAAATGATTCAATGGGGATTTTTAAGTTGTTTGAACATAAAGAAGACAGAGAAGATGAGGATGCAACAGGTCGGGTGTGGGGACAAATACTCGCCGGCGATGACATTGGCGCTATGTCAAGAATTGGCAGAAGTTGGAATTCATGGACTGGTCATTGGATCGAGTCCCAGTGGCTTGATGGTCTGCGAGCACGCCTTGTGACTAGAAAGTCCAGGATTCGAACCCTGGAGGTGCGTGCTAACTGATGAAGAGTCCCAAACGAGGAAAAAAGGTTATCCAGTACTCCTAGATGGTTCTCCAGTGGCTCTCTAACCGATGACAGCTCATGATGAAATCCTGTAACTCATCAATGACTGTAAGCCTTAATCACTACCAATAGGATTTAATAGTGTGAAATATTCCCATATGATGATTAAAAAGTCAATCTGAACGAAGAATATTCTTTTCAATAATTTCTCCTATTCACGTTCTTACAATTATAAAATACAATATTTATTGTCGTTACAATAATGGCCAGTTAGTTATGCGGCGGATACATTTTTTAACGTAGAATAAGAGATCAGTTATGGGTGTAAAAACAAATAGTCGTATTTGTGTGGCGAATGTGGTCTGGGCTGAAATCGATTACAAAATATTGTGAAATGGGAGACAATGGTGGTGATTTGTGAGTCATAATAGAATGTGGGGTAGGAAAATTGACAAGTCGCTTACATCTACCACACATAGCTGAAGCTGTTGCAATAAGATCGACTAAACCGGAACTTTGTATGCAAAAAGAACATGTTCAGACGCTGTTCCTACCGTGGCCAAACTTGGATTGATGATTCTTCTTCTCACCAAGAGTGCCTCTTCCCCTTATCCCTCTTGGTTTTTTTCTTTTTTTCTTTGCTTATTATTACAATTATGATTATTATTCGTCATAATTTGTACCCCTCATGTAAACATTCTCTCAATACTGTGGAATTTTCCATTTATAATATCCAGACTTATTATTAGTGATGTTATCTCTTTTCTCAATATATGCCTCCACCTGTTTCATTTCACCACATTTCGGTTATTTCATGATGAACCTGTCTTTTCAGTTTTACTATTTCCTCTTTGATACATACCGCTTTGTACTAGCCACTCACCTGACACCTTTTATAAGCTTGAACTGACTTGTCAATTTTCCTACCCCACATTCTATTATGACTCACAAATCACCACCATTGTCTCCCATTTCACAATATTTTGTAATCGATTTCAGCCCAGACCACATTCGCCACACAAATACGACTATTTGTTTTTACACCCATAACTGATCTCTTATTCTACGTTAAAAAATGTATCCGCCGCATAACTAACTGGCCATTATTGTAACGACAATAAATATTGTATTTTATAATTGTAAGAACGTGAATAGGAGAAATTATTGAAAAGAATATTCTTCGTTCAGATTGACTTTTAATTCACCACCAATAGGATAAATCTAGAAGAAGGCATCTCTTTCACTTACTTAGGCAATGTTGTTTTAACTATAGGCAGATGGTAAGGATTAGGTTATCGAAACGAGGATGAGTTTTGGAAGGCAGGAAAGGTGTTCATTAATCTAAAATCACTGTGGAGATTTATGGCAGTCAGAGCAAGGAACAAAATGTTAATTCTGCTTAACTTTAATGTCAAGTCAGTCAGTACTTCTAATATGGTTCAGAGACTTAGCTAGAGCGTCACTGACTGATACGGACTTTCATCAGCAGCTGCCTACTCTTTAGGATTCTGAAGATAAGATGGCTGACTACAAAGGACAAACAAGGAGGAAATCCGGTAGGCAGCGAATTAACCAAGAATGTATTCCCTTAAGACCCTTAAGCGACGTCATGCGCCAGACTTGGGCGTCCAAAGGTGACATGGAGGTGTTGGTGTGTGAAGGAAGTGAAAGCTTATGGAAAACCATGGGACCTGCTAAACGAGACTGAGGAGAATAGGGTGACATAGCAATGTGTGGCTGAAGGTCTATGTCGGACGATTTCATATGGTTGATGTAGGCCTCATCCTTTATATAAGGATAAAACTTGGGCACTAAGGCAGAATATAATTCCATTATGGATAAACCTTTATTTTGATAAAGTCACACAGTGTTATCCAGGAATAAGGGTGGTATTCGAATCTAAAAACTCACTCAAGAAGAATAAGCTATGTAGGCTAAAGGACACTGCAGATTGACCCGATTAAACAAAATTATATATTTTACAGAATACCTTGCAATGACTGTGCTTGATGTCAACTACACAGGTCAAACTAGTAGATCGGAAGTAGTGAGACTGCCTGTCAGGTGATAAGAATAAAGCTAAGGCCAGAATGATTGATCCCACCTACGAATATAAGTAACTTAGAAAAAAGCTAAGCACTACATTGCGCTGCATGCACTAACACACAACCACACACACAATAGGACGGATGGGAGAGGGTTAACATTCTAAGAAATAATATAAGCAGGTGGAGAGAGAGAGATTGATTACCGGATCCTTGTTCATCGAGTCTACGCTCAACACATGCAACAGAAATGACTCAATGTAAATACCAGAGATGTGTATGGAAGATATTATTACCATCAGTCAGTCAAATCAGAGGAGGATAATAAATAATGTTAAAATGTATTCAGTTCAATTCGC